TGAGGCAGGATTCTCTTGCTTTGCCCGTGCTTGGATCTGGGTCGCAGTTCTGGGTGGTGGTCTTGGGGCAAGGAGGAATGCTGGCATGGTGAAACTTGTAGTGATGCAGAGAGAATCCTCCTCACAGTTCCAAGGCAGAAAAGAGTGCTTGTGGTCACTCACAGACCAGAGCCCAGGCCAGAAAAGGAATAAATACCTTGCCTTTGATCATACCACCTTGGAAGAACTGAAAATTTACAGGTCCCTAGAAGTAGCTCTGAAAACAGCTGCAGAAAACCCCCATAGTTTTGGACAGTACATTTTCCACACTGGAAGCAGATCCCTACCTTAACAAAGAGTTTAAAACTCAAGTAACTGGCTGGGATCATGAGCAAACAGTGCAAAAAAAAAGCCAGACCATAGAATCTGACATACAACCAGAAGAAAAATATGTCAGGTTCAATATCTAACCAACTAATCATTAGGGTAATACAGGGAAAATGTTATTGCTAATATATTTCCACTATAAGCCAACAGCTAAAAAGCTTAAGGTTATCAGGATAACTTCTTTGTTTCAAACTACTAATAGCTGAATGAACTAGGAAATTGTCATTCATAATTTTCCAAAACAAAAGCAAAGGGAATCTACTTAAGAGTAATACTTTCAAGTAAAGTCATACACAAAACTAAGAAGGAAGCCCCAAAAGATAGAAAAAAGAAAGATCAAATATCCTCTCTACTACATTACTTCAAATAGACATAATTTTCCTTTCATAAGAGGTCAAATAAACCACCTATAATTAGGAACAGCTGTTTAGTTTCATTCACTGTGACATCTGTTTAGAGAACATCCTTTCCACTTGCATGGATTAAATAAAATGGATAGATGCTCAAAAAGCCAATATTGACTACTTTATTTTTCTAAATGACTAGCAGATGAACTGGAAGTACACACCAAAATGACTCTATGCTCCAAATGAATGCAAGTTTGTAATTCTATGAATTTATAAAAGGATTGGAGAGATTAAAGAAAGTACAAATAGTAGTGACCACTGTAATACAACTCATTATGCTAGGGAATGGCGACACAAAAATGAAAAACAACATAGACTACCGCAAAGATATGACACTGATACATGTAAATATAATACAAGGAAGAGTAAAGCATGGTAAAGGAGCAATCCAGAGAAAGCACTCTAGGAACATAAAGGAATAATAGAAATCTTCCAGTGCAATAGGGAAAAAGGAACTGAAGGGAGAATCAGGAAAATACTGAACTCTTAATAAATACAAACCATGAAGTAGAGATGCTTTTATGTTACCATTTGCTATGTTAACATATATATAAATAAAAAGTACTTGTGTACTATGGTATTTCCCAGATTTCCAGAAGCCAAGATGGTAAACAGGAAATTTCCTGAACTCTCCCACATGTACCTCCAAACAACTATAAAATGGCACCCCAAAATGAATTCTGGAAAGGCAGAACCAACAAAAAAGACAGGGTGAAACAACTTTCTAACCCAAGACAACTTGGAAGGTTATCAGGAAAGGTCTGTCTCACTCAAGTAAAAGAGCAGTGCTACCAGGCAAGGCATTGCCTCTGCATGCCAGAGAGAGGCCCCAATGCAAGTTAGTGACTAAGGCTCCAGAACCCCATTGCAGTAGCAGGCAAGCAGCTAGCCCCCCTCCCATGCAGCTCCTGTGCAGAATCACCCTCATGGTCTTCAGTGCAGAAGCACCCCCCCCCCAGGTGCCTCATCACAGTACCAGGTGTACTATCAGCACCAGACATCCCCCACCTCATCACAGCATCAGAACCCCAGTACAGCACAAGGGGCCCCCATGTACCTCAATGTAGCACCAGGTGAACAACCAGACACCAGCACCAGGCCCCTCCCATATGCCTCAGCACAGCACCAAGCTAACAGTAAATGTTAACACTACTCCTCCCAGACCCCACCCCTGCCCCAGGCCTCAAGGCAACACCAGATGAGCTGCCAGACACCCGCTGCTCTGGGCAGCACCAGCCACCTCCCACATCCCCCACTTCCCTCACCACAGCACTCACCCCCACCCCAGAGCAGCACCAAGTGAGTCACCAGACCTTCCCCTGCCCCCAACACAGCACAAGGGGCCCCAGAGCAGCACCAAACAATCAGCCAGGGCCCATAGCTCCAGTCACAAGGAGCCTGGGACAGTACCCCTTCCACCCCAGGAGCAGAGTTCAGCTTTAAAAGTAACAAAATAGGCTGGAAAAGATGAGCAAAAACCAAAAAAAGAACCTGACCATAAAAAGTTATTATGGTGACAGGAAAAATCAAGACACAAACTCAGAAGAGGATGGCAATGTTAACATGTCAACAAAACCTGAAAGAAAAATGTGAATTGGTCTCAAACCCAAAAAGAACTCCTAGAAGAGCTCAAAAAGGAGTTTAAAAATAAAATAAGAGAGAGAGAAGAAAAACTTGGAAAAGAGAAATGATTGTGATGCAAGAGAATCATGAAAAAAGTCAACAGCTTGATAAAGGAAGCATAAAAAAATGGAAAAAGAGGCAAAAAATTTACTGGAAAAAAACCCAACTCTCTAAAAAGTAAAACTGGCCAATGGAGAAGGAAGTTTTAAAAAAAAAACTAACTGGTGAAAATAACTCCTTATTTTCAAGTGGAAGCTAGTCACCCCATGAGACATCAAAAATCAATCAAACAAAATCAAAAGATGAAAAAAAAAGAAGAAAATGCAAAATATCTCATTGGAAGAACAACTAAACTGGAGAACAGATCAAGGAGAAATAATTTAAGAATTATTAGACTACCTGAAAGCCATGATCAAAAAAAAGAACCTGGACATCATACATCAAGAAAGTATCAAAGAAAATTGCCTTAATATCCTAGAACCAGAGGGTAAAATGGACATAAGAATCCATCAATCACCTCTGGAAAGAAATTCCAAAATTAAAACTCCCAGGAAGATTACAGCCAAATTCCAGAACTTCCAGGCCAAGGAGAAAATATTACAATATTACAGCCAGAAAAAAAGATAATTCAAATATTGGAGAGCCACAATTAGGATTACACAGGATTTGGCAGCTTCAACATTAAAGGATTAGAGGGCATGGAATGTAATATTCTGAAAGGCAAAGGAGCTGAGATTACAACCAAGAATTTCCTATCCAACAAAACTGAGCATAATCCTTCAAGGGAAAAAATGTTCATTCAATGAAATTGAAGGCTTTCAAATTAGTCTGATGAAAAGACCAGAACTAAATATGGAATTTCACATCTTATTAACTTCCAGTAATAGCAACAGTAGATAAGATACAGCTAAATTGAGCACTGAAATCACATTTCTTTGAAAACCAATATAACAATTCTAACAGAAGTAGAGCCCAAGTTACAAAACTTTAATCTTCATTAGTCACAATCAACCAGCTGTTAAATATGGTTTTATGGCACATATCGTTAATACTAACAAACTAAAGGTTGACATTTGGTTAGCCAAACTTTTTGGCATACAGACCTGCCTGATTCACTTGTAAACACTAACACTTGTTGTTTTAAGAAAAAAATTTTAATTTCCAATCTGTTAAAGTTTTTCTTTGAACATTAGGAGCTTAGTTTGATCCACAACTTTTAGTTACTTCATCTTTTTCTTAAAAGACTTTACCATATAAAATATTGCCCAGTACATGACCATGTTTGTTTTTGGGTTCATGGTTCTAGGGTTAGTTGCATTTTCATCATAAATAAAATGCCTTGGGAACAAGAAGGGCAATGATTACTATGACTAGTTTAAAAGGAAGGAGATGAAGGAATCTTCCTTCAAATTCTTTACAAATGATAAAGAATGTATTAGCCTAGTGTTTGTTTAAATTTGCACATTAAGGCTGTCATTATTTAAGCTATATGGTCAAAAGTCCCTGTGATAGATTTTTTGATCCACAACTCTCACTGATTTGTAACCATAGTATATGCCAATGCTGCACTTACTTCAATATATTTTGTCCAAGATGACAATATCAAAAGTATAGCAAAATAACTTCCAGTGCTCACCAATTTTTAAGCAAAAGATAATTCAAAGAACTTTACACTTCATAGATGCATAATTTCCAAAAATAAAGCTACTCATTACAACCATAGATTCAGAACTGGAAGTAAACTTGAAGGTCACTTAGTCACATACCTTCACCTTGGAGAAAAGGCACAGAAACAGAGTGGTTAAGAGATGTAAATGGCAGAGCCAGGACTGAACCAACGTCCTCTGCCTCCAAATCTGGGGCTTTTTACACCAAACCACTACCTCTTCAACAAGAGAAAAACATATACAAACCACTATTTTTAGAGCTCACATTTAGTTATTACTGAAACAGAAAGTTAAGGGACAGGGTAACAGGAATGATTCCTGTTTGGCTTATGGCTGCCAATTTTTAAAAAAAGTTTATTTGGGTGATTATATTCTTAATATTGCCATTCAAAGTTGGTAATAACATGCTATAACACTAATAATTTTTTTCAGGTTAAGCAGTTTTTTAGTGCAGACATTTACATTTTGCTTTCATACTCCATTTATTCAGCAAGCATTCATTACTTAATTTTAAAAAGGCTTTAAATCTGTAAACGAGAAATGTAATCAATTTTATGAAGTCATCCTTATAAAATAATCCTAAATTGTTGATTCAAAAAGCATTTATGCTCTTCAAGCAAAGTGGAACTCAAGCACTGTAGAACATTGCGGACTAATTCATTAAGAGATAAAAATGTGAAAATACTGAAAATATTTTTGGAGTTTCTTTTTTTAAGTCAACTAGCATACACTTTCTAACTACAGGTTAAGAAACCTACAGTATTTCTCACTGAAAAGAGATATGAGAAGAAAAGGAGAATTTGTCTTACAAATGTGAATTTGATACCCAAGGAAAAAAAATGCATTGAAAACCTTACACAGTAACATCTAACAAGGTCTATTTAAACAATTGGCAACATATTAAGCTTTAAACACACAAAATGCATTATTAGCTCACCAATGGTATATCTGAGTTCATTACAATGGCTGATGTGGGGTAACTTTAACATCTCCTTCCATTTCTTACTTCGACCATGTCGTTTACCACCTCCTCCTAAGGGAAACAAAAAAAAGATGATAAATGAGAATACAAAGGCCTACAAATGTCCAATATGACTTCAGTGGCATGTATCTTCAACAACAAGAAAAATTATTTCTAACAATCCTAGCCTTCACATATGTGGCTATTACATGTGTGGTAATGGAGGCTAAACAGAATCAAAGAATCACAGAATTTTAAAACTGGAAGTACTTCAGTGGTCATATAGGCTAACCCACATTAAAAAAAATAGAAATTCCCATTATTAACAAACCCAAATAAATGGTCATCCAGACACTGCTTGAAAACCTCCAATAAGAAGGAACACTCTGGGAGCCTCTGAAGGCAGCCCAGTACATGTCTGAATAACTCTAAATGTTTGCAAGTTTTCCTGACATCCTTTGTAATTTCTACCCATTGCTCCTGGAGTCAAACAGAACAAATTTAATAAAACTCTCTGGCTCTTGATTAGGACCCCTTATTTCATATTCACATTTTAGTAAGGACAGTAATAAGCAAGGAAGCCTCCAAAAGAAGGCAACCAGAATAATGAAGAATCTTGCGTTCTTGCCATATGAGGATTGGTAGAAGGAGCTGGGATGTTTTTCTTGAAGAAAAGTCTTCCAATAGGAAACCTTTGCAGCAGAGTAGAACCTGCCAGAACTTGCACACTGTTTCTAAGGGCAAATAAGGAAAATAAATAGACACTTACTTATCCATGATTTTCAACATATAAAAAAGAGATAACTTTTAACCAATTATAAAATTCTCTATACTGCAACATAACTTTAGATCTAAGATTTTACATGACATATAGTAAAGTAATCTAGATATAATATTATAGAATTATCCGTATAAAGACTTTTTGTATTACTACAACTTGTAAATTGAAGAATTAATTCAACACATGTTACACTAGGTCTCTTTTATAGAACTTTTACTATTTTCCTGGCTCCTGCAGCTGCAGCACCAATCTAACCCCACCCTGCTCTTTCCCCTTCATTTTGTCAGTCGTGCAAATAGCTAGAGTCCACCGTGTTCCAAGTCAGAATTAAATGGTATGAGGGAGACAAACACTAAAAAGGGAAAATTGGTGATTTTTTCTATATGTAAAATAATAAAAAAAAAGAAGCCAGCAAAGCATGCTATAAATAGCAGCCAACTAGATGACTGATACAAATGAAGGCACTTTTGGATAACATTTACAAAGCTTGCATTCACACTTTTTTGAACATGTAAGGAAAGCCAAAGTTTATTCAAGTTCTTCATACCTGATACTACTTCATTTCTTTTAGATCAGAGGTTCTCAGACTTATTTGGACTTACTGCCCCCTTTAAAAAAAATTACTTAGCCCCCCTCCCTGGAACTCTTTAACCCTTTAGTGTTTTTCTTAAATTTGCATCATTTCAAAACAATATAAAATATATTTTTTAAATGATACATATTAAATTTAATAATTTATTGTATATCTGTGGGTTTTTTCCTGCACCGAAATTTTGATGACGCAGCATTGTGTCACATAACCAAATGGTTTTCAAAATGTTCTTATTTTCTCTTCTTTCCTTATGCTTCCACTGCCCTCTTATTTTTATTTAACACCCCTCCAACAGCACCCGAGGCCACTACTGCCCCCTGGATCTGTCCAGTGCTCCCCAGGGAGCAGTATTGTCCACTTTGGGAACCCCTATTTAGATTTTAGCACATTGATTTTAAAAATTCTCATTCTCAGTCTTATATAGATGCATATGAATGTATATTACTATATGAGTAGGATTATAGATATAAGTATATGTATGTGTAAGTAAGCATATATGTGTACAGGTACATTTATGAATATGTATATCTTTGTGTGCATATGCTTATATATGTATGTATATGTGTATATACATGTATATGTGTATGTATCTCTCTCTCTCTATATATATATATATAAAATATAAATATATCCACATTTAATTGTAGCCTTGGGGTGTAAGCTTTGGAGGGTAGGGGGGAAAAGAACAAAGTAAAAAGTGCACAGCAGAGAACAAAAGAAAGTTTAAAAGGAAGCAAAGAAAAGATGGATGGCTCTCAACACAACACATAGTATTTATAATATAGGCTTTCTTGAAATGTAAATTTATTGCTGTATATTTTGAATCCTCTTTCACGTTCTGCTATGCACATAGCAATGCTTTTCTTTCATATTTTGTATTATTTCAGTTTGTTTCTTTTTTCTTTTCTTATTTTGTATTTAAGTTTAAAATTTAAAAATTTACCCAAAAAAATTCTCATCTGGCTCTACTGTTACTGAGTACTATCTGAGCTCAAATTCATGAACCTTAGCATTTATAGATTATCAATCCTATGTGTTCAGTTTCTATCCCTGAACAAATGACAAGACCACTGGTTCTTCCTACTTGGCTAGTCACGACTTCATAATGCAGAGTGAAACGAGAAGAACCAGGAGAACAATTTATACAATGACAACAATATTTAAAAGACAACTTTTGGTAACTATGACCATCACAATGATCAACCATGATTCTAGAGGAGTAATTAAGAGGTGAAAGAGTACAGAATGAGATATACATATGTAAATATATGCATGTTTACATATACATGCAAGTGTAAGTGTATGGATGCATGCAAGCGTTTATGTTTTTGGACCTGGCTATGGCCAATGAGGACATCTATCTCGACACCACATGTTTGTAACAGATTTGGATTTCCTTTCATTCTCAATTGGAGGGGGATGGGAAAGCAGATTCTACAAAGTTCGAACAGCTTTTTAAACATGGGTCCTACTAATGGACTACATGCCTATGATCCCAATTCAAAAGAAATTCAAGATAAGGTTGGCAATAGGGTGATGAAATTTTTAACCAACACAAAATCTCTAAGGATAGTTACTAATTAAAGAGAGATTGCAATCTGCATTAGTAAAGGGACTATCTAGATCAATGAAATTACAATTCCTTAAAGTGTATAAAAAATGAATATACACACATATATTTCCATATCAAGTCTGTGATACAATAACTAGTCACTTAAAAAGGAATACTATCATTCTGCCAAGTCTCAGCTATATGTATTAAACATGTATATTATTATTAAAAATATATTACAAGACTATAAGTATGGTTGGCATATCTAGAAAACAAGCTTATCTCCTACTTCCTTTTCAATAGCATCAATTTTGATAGTATTTTAAATAGTTTAATCTAGTATTTACTCATTGAAAGAAATCAAAATCCTTAAAGGAGCTTCATTCCTTTAGCTAGTTTTACCACACTGATACTTAAAACTTTTACATTAAATATAAACAGAGGGGATGAAATACTCCTAGAGAAAGCAAAAGAGTTGTATACCTGGAGAAGAAGTAAAGACAGATCTCAGGTAGAGTCCCAATTATAAACTGGAACTATAATGCAATATGAACTATGATAGCTATAATACTTTGGTCAGGCTTTATCTTCAATATTCCATTCTGGATACCACAGAGGATATCAAGAAGATGAGAAGTAAGACTGCAAAGGACCTATTAATCATATTATAAAAGCTCCAGTGAAAGAACTGGAGAAGCAGTTAAAAAATTGGAGAAGCTGGAGTAGGTATGATAGTTGTCTTTAAGCATCTAAAAGATTTTCACATGTAAGAGAGTTTAAAATTGCTTATTTATTCCTTGGTCAGCTCCCTAGAGCCAATTAATAGAAGCTAAAGAAAATCAAAATTTGGTACAATATAACCTAAAGGAGAGAGAGCCCTCTCAGGTCCTACTTACACATTTCACAGATGAGTTTAAATATCTCATATCCAAGCCCACAACAGGTTAAAAAGAACAAAATCAGGAAAGCAGAACTGCTATAGGTAAACATACCAATAAGACGATAGGAAAGAAGATAAGAAAACTATCAGAAGCAAGCATAACTAAAAAGCACATCAGCCTGATAAAGTTTAACATAGGAACAGTATTACATACTTTCAAAAGCCCTGAAGGAATTACTGTAATAGTACAGAACATCAACTGATCATGGGGAATCAGGAAAAGGTTAAATGACATTCAGTAACCTCTGTTTAAGAAAGAAGCAGGTAAATTGTGTAATATATTTTTGAAGATTTCCATTCAAAAGGGTCAAAAATATTTAAAAGCTTGGCTTTAAAATCCTTGGTCATCTGAAAAACTAGCCTATCCAGAATCACTCATTCTGCAAGGTTTCCTGAAGCTAAGGTTTTGCTATATTTAATGATAAACAACCTAGCTGAATAAAGTTTGAAATTACTCTACATTTTTAGATAGATCATTAAGGTTAAAACTGTGTACTTAAAATGAATGAAATGCAACCTAACCCACCTAAAAATCCTTCAAAGTAATTTCTCTCCAAATCTAAGAACCGAGTCTTACATTCTAGGGATATCAGCAGACTAATAATTTATATGTTTATAATATATTTCATGAAGATAGACTTATCAGATGTGCTTCATTAAAGATTAATAATCTGCATTCTAAAGAAAAAATATAATTTAATTAATGTACATTCTAGAGAAAAAATCTAACAATTATCTTAGACCATCAGCAATATAATTTCTAATTTCTAACCCCTTTCATTTTGATTAAACTATCATATACAATTTCTACTTTATAATTCTGCAAGATAAGAGGTCTCTTCTATAACAGTCTGGAACAAGTCGTCAAAAATATTCAGTATTATTTGCTCTTTTTTTTCTTCTGTTTTGTTTCTTCTTTCTCATGGTTCCTCCTATTGGTTCTAATTCTTCTTTACAACATGACTAATGTGAAAATATGTTTTAATAGGAATGTATAATGTTAAGCCTATATCAGATTGCATGCCGTCTTGGTGAGGAAGAGGGGAGGGAGAAGGGAGAAAATTTAAAACCCAAAAACTTATGGAAGTGATTACTGAAAACTAAAAATAAATTAATTAATTAAAAATATTTAGTATTAGCTAACATTTACACATTATTATATATTTAATGTGATTAGAATCAAAAGCTAGACTAACTCATGCTGAAC